GTGGTTGCAGGTGACCTGAGGTCAACTTTTCCCTCGTGCGGGACAAACTTGCTTATATAACAGTCTTGGCAATCATGTGATCAACAAAAGAGCTTTACAAACTTTCCTCCCGCATCATCTGTGTCAGACAGATTACCAACTACTTGTAAAGTAACTACCATACCACCACCACACCACTCTACATAGCTGCTCTGTCGCTGCTCTATTCAAAAAGAAAAAGTTATTACTTTTTAAGCAATTAATAAGCTATAGGTTTATCAAGATCCAATTTATTAGTTCAGAAATAGTATAAGTTAGTGCCTCTGTAACATTTGTAAGTTACCTTTGGTCCAAAATATATTTCTGCATGATACATTAACTATAGAGAGTTACGCAACTTTTCTATTAAAGTATTTACCAAGTACTTGTAAACTGCTTATAAACCAGTTAACTCATGTTCCTGTATCCGCATTCTTCTCTCCATAAGATCAAGTTCCAACTTCTCATTTTGAAGCTGTTGCAGGCGAATATCCTCCTCTTGCTTTTTGAGATTAGCTTTCTTTTGTTGAAGTTCTATTTCAAGATTCTCTAGCTCAATCACTTGACGTCTCTGTTCAAGATTTAAGACATTTGTTGAAATGGCACGTCGAAGATTACTCGATCTTATTGACCTAATTCATTTGGTAAGTAATTGTGAACTACTTTATAGCTACTTGTGAAGCACTTGTCGGGACTTACTCATTATCACCATTTTTTGAGGAGTTTTGTGACCTTGACCTTGTATTTCCTTGCGGTAAGGGTGAAGCTGATTCAATTTCAGATGAAGTAGATAAGGCAGACCTTCGGCGCTTTCGGCTCCCTAAAAGTCAAGGTAGTTAACAAGCAGTTAACAAGTGCTGGTGAAGTAGTTCTCTAATACATACTTTCCCGACTCATATGCCGAAGGTAGTTAGCTTCCATATTAGAAGTTCGGTATGAATGGTGAATATTGAAGTCCTGAAAGTTATTGTACTGCACAATATCATCCCTATCTAGCTTCGCAGAACTAGGGTATATTAGTACTTTTCTTAAACAGTTGACAAGCGGTTGGTAGGTGCTTAAAGAACTTACTTCTTAACTGCCTGTACCAAAGTTAAATACTTTCCAGATGCATATGATTTCTGATGGGACTGCTCAACAGCATTTGTATGATTTCGCAGTATATCAAAGTAATGAGGTTGAATTTTAGAGCATGCTTTATTTAACCCGGCTTTGATTACTTTGCCTTTCTTTTGAACTGCCCAATTCTGGACATTAGCACTCTCATACACTGAAGCAGTCAGTAACTAATTGTCAAGCGGTCAACAGGTGGTTATATACTTATCAGAAGATCTAATAATTTATCATAATCATCCTCTGATCTGCAGTCTAAAAGACTCATCATGCGGCTCCAAAGGGGAGAGCCTTGGTTATTAGTTCCAATAGCTTTCAAGATTGACCGTTGGAAATGAACCCTGCAGAAGACAATAATATGCTGTAAATGCCATGTTATGTCTTGGTGTTGAGGATCAATCTCAGAGAGATATTGACCAAGTCCTAAGTAGTTAGTATATGTTTTCCAAGTAGTTAATAAGTACTTACCAGTATATTGTTTTGAATCCATATCAACAATAATACCATGGATTCCGGACCCATGGATGGAATCAAAAAGAACTGGTCGGGAAGAGACCCTCTGGACTAGGTCAAAAACTCGCTTGAAAAGTAAATAATACCCCTCAGTAGAATCAGTACTGGTAAAGACTCGCAGTAAAGTAATAACTAGTGACTGGGTGGTTAGTAACTGCTCACTTAGTAGTTAGGGATTAATACTTTTGCATTGGTCTGGCAGGAATGTAGCAAAAAGCACCTCATTAATATCTTTTGACCGTATTCGTTTATAAGACATATCAACCTCAAAAGATGAGAGAAGTGAAAGAAGTTGGATTTGCTCTTTAAAAGCACATAGAACCATGATACCCTGGGAATCATGATAATATTCCTGGATATAATCCTAAGAGCTTGTTTAGTACTTGTCAGCTGCTTTGCAAGTGCTTCTGAAGTGCTTACCTTCAAATGCTGGTCAGTATTTTGAAGGAAAATCAGGCCATTGATATCCTGTCCATTAGGATAAGAAATAAGACGCTGCTTTTGAATTATTGCTGCAATTCGATCCTTATTACAAAAGCTAGAGTGAATCTCTGCTAATGTAGATGCATTATACTGCCGACAGAATTCTTCAAGTTGTGGATTTCGAAGAAATTGAGCTATGTAACTGGTTATCAACTACTCCACAAGTGGTTGAATAGTACTTACCTGTTGTTAAATTAGGGTCCTGAATTTGTTCAATAATTCTTTTCACACCCTCTAGAATCCTTTCAGGTGCCTTGCTTGGTGGTGGTGGTGGATGTTTATGAACCCCATGTGATGTAAATATTATATATGGGCATTGCTCTATATCTGTAGGTACTAGAGCATTGAAGATAACATCACAAGGAGTATGCTTCAACTGACCAGACCCCTGAGGATGATCTCGATCTAATAATTTCTTAGTAACTGGATATAGAGTGGTTAAGAAGTATTTACCACAGTACTTTCGGCGGCTTGATAGAGGTTCAAAAACACCACATTCTTCAGTAGCTGGCAAGATCTCTTTATTAAAAAGATCCTCAAGAAACTGCAAGTCTATGGCTGTATGTCCTTGAATTTGCCCCATATGATGTTTAGTTAAACCTCCATATGATCCATTTATACAGCCAATGAATGGCGCGTATTCTCCATGAACATCCTAAAGTAGTTAACAATCACTCACTAACTGCCTGAGAAGCAATTATCATTTATCACATACCATCTGATTATATCTTTTAAAAACTGCTTTGCAGGTTGGAAGTTGATCAACACACGCAAGGCCTTTCCTAAAGAAAGAAGCCTTTGACCGATAATAACTAAGGCTGGATAAGTACTTGATAACTAGTTAACAAGTAGTTAGAGTACCTATATGCATTGCGCTTTCTGATATCAGACTCTAAGATCTGGACATCTTTCTGAGACTTTTGAATTTCTTGCCAAGTACCTTCATCAACAGATGAATGATGATAGGACCGGAGAAATGGGCTCAGGAATTCACATGCATAAATCCCAGAGCATTTCCATGTCCATTTCTTAACTTGACATCCAAGAAATGGGCAGTAAACAGGTCGTTTTCGTCCGAAAGGCTGTCGTTTTGCATATTGAATCTAGAAGTACTTAGTATCTAGCTATCAAGTACTTGTCAAGTACTTACAGTATCAGGAAGATGATCCATTTCAACCTGTGTTCGTCCTTTGGAAGCAATAACATATGTATAACCATATATATGAGTTGTGGGATACTCTGGAAGGTCATCAATATACTCAAGATTCAATGTTGTAAGACCAGAGCCTTTAGCTCTTGTAAGTGGAATAAGCATATCTGGTTCCTTTATTTAACTGGTTAGCAAGCAGTTGACAGCTGATTCACAGGCAATCAAATAATTTTACCTTGATTTCAAGGGAGATATCAGCACTTGGCTCAACAAAATTATTATTGATATCAAATGAAGGCCCCTGGGAGTCCTGAGGGTTGAGAGAGTCCATTATTGCAACTGCTTGGTAACTGATCCTCAATTGCGTGGATATTCTTCGAATACTTAGAATTAAGAACGGAAATTGAATTTCATGTAAAGTTCAGTATTTAATTATCTCGTGCGGGATAAATCAACTTAATAAGAGCCTTGGCGCTCACGTGCGGGGGGTCTAGGCCGCATGAGCTCACCGCTTGGCTCATGCGACCTGTGTACACTCTAAAGATAGATGACGTCCCAAAACTCAGTCTTTGTCATGGTTCGATACTAACGTAATCAACCTCCGAGCGAATAGTGACCTCCGAGCGACGAATTCTCGCCGCAACTACCAGGGTTTTGATGCTTTCAACCACCAGAGCCATTGGATTAATCATGTAAAGACGAAACAGATAGCTATTTACTGGGACAGCTTCTCATACAAAAACTCCGTCACAATGTCTAACCGCGCCATTCAGCTGCGCCAGCTCAGAGTATTCATTGAATCGAGGGATCCTACAGTGTTCGGTCTCCTACGATCAATCCAAACTGAAGCCTACTCAGCACTCTCGAAGTTGAAATATAAAAGCTGAATAAGACCCTCGGGATGTCAACTATGAGACAGTACATCAGAGGAAAATGGGAAGAGATGAAACATAAGACAAGCAGCCCCATGCCATCTCTCACTTATTCACCGCTGCCGCCAGTCTATACTACTCGCATGGTTCGCCTTCTACCGCACGAGGATAAGAATGCCTCCATCGAATGCGAGATTTCCATCTACGGTCTATCAGAGGCAGGCGGTAGAGAGCACCTTTACGAGACACTTTTCTATGCTTGATGAGTAATGTTAGATCTCTGCCATACTAAATAGCTGCACTTTCCCTGTTACTAGGAACCTCCATACCTGCCATGTGGCGTACGTGGGATATTGAAGAGAGCGAGTAGCTCAAGAGAATCCACAACGTTATTTTCTCGAAAATCTGTTCATTAGCAAGCGGTTGGTATTTTCTATTTTAAGATTTGTTTTCTCGTCCTGAGAAAATGTGCACTAATAACATTGCTAAAGAATCGACACTCCAAATAGCCACATCTATTCAACTCTAACTGCAGCAGTATGAAATAAACCTCTAGCACCAAAACCAATTCCATGATTGCCCCAATTCATCAATCCTTGTTCTGAACCCGCTTGCTCATCCGTCGGATGGCATGGCCATATCGATAAAGCAAGAAAGGCACAGGAGCCATCACGGCAGCAATACAAGCCAGGATGGTCAACGCGTAATGCGGGCCGAGACTGCGATACATCGGAATCGCACCAACAGCCATCGCTCCCGAGGCCATGTAACGTCCGAAAGTCATGAAACTGAGGGCGGATGCGGCATAGGTTTGGTACACGAAGATGACATAGAGGTAAATGCTGGTGAAGACGGTGATGAGACCATAACCGAAGAATGCAGATCCGATGATGGGAGACCAGATGCTGATTTCGGGCTGTGTTGCTTTGTTAGCAATGGTAAGACATCTCGAGAACGGACCGAGCTTACATAACAAGTCCAACCCATCCAGAAAAGCGAGACTGGAAGGAGAATTGAACCACCCATCATGGAATAGTAAAGACACACTTCCGGTTTCAAGGACTTACCCTCTGCCGTTGCCTTTTCATACTCTTTCTTCGTCCAGGAGTATAGCAGAGGGACTAGTAAAAGAGCCAAAAAATCACCGACAATCTGCGCCACCCATAGTATGTTGGTCAGTCCCTGGGAAATACCGTACACTTCCTGGAAGATAAAAGGATATCCACTCATGAAAGTGAACAGAACGATATATATTATGATCAAATAAATGGTGAACAACATGATGATCGGCTCGGTGTACGTGAAGAGAAATGGTCGATAAATGCTAGTTCGGAGACGGGTCCATAGAGATGAACTTCCTGTCGCCTCTGCCTCAGACTTGAATCGATTGTCTCCCGTGATTTTGCGGAAATGCTCGGCCTTCCAACTGAGTAGCAAGGGCTCATAAGTCTCAGGCTGGAAGAGAAAAACCAACCCCATGATCAGCCCGGCGTAGATCAGCATAATCCAATCAGCCCATCGCCAATTGATGGCCGAACTCTCACCCATATAAGCCGAAACCACGGGCCCAAGCATTGGTCCGGCATATGCAATAATCGTCATGACCGGCAAGCTGAACGTTGCTTCCAGAGGTGTCCAAATATCGGCAATTGATCCTCCAGCGCAGGTAAGGGGTGTTGAGCCGAAGAAAGCCGCGAGAAAACGAAAAGCAATGGCAGCGCCAAAGTTGGGTGCCAAGGCTTTGGCCATGATGAAAATCATAAAGATAGCTCCCGATATAACGTACACGATATTGCGACCAAAGGTTTCAGAGAACGAGCCCGCCACGAGCGATCCAACGGCGAAACCGAAGAGATAGCAACCTGAGCATCGTTAGACGGTCCAAATGATAAAACGAAATGGAAAAGAAAGGTAAGCATACCAGTCGTCAGAGTACCGACTTCATCTTTAACATGGAAAGCTTCAGTAGATTGAGGCTCAACAGCGGCGTCGATGGAAGAAGCAGCCGCACCCATCATGGAAATCAGACATAACATCGTAGTTGCAACCCATCGACGAGTGGGCGACCAGTTCTTAGGTTTCACCGGGTCGACATCGCCATCCCAGCCCACAATGAAAACGTATTCCTTCTGGCCATTGCTTCCGACAATGTTTCGAACTTGCACACCCGGGACCTGTGAGGGTGAAGATGAGGTCGATGGCAGCTTCTCCTCATCTACGGAGGTGGATGAATCGGTATCAATCGACTTTTCGAGATATGCAAGGTCGGTATTGAGACAAATGTCGCGAACCTGTGCCTTGATCTTTTGGTACTGTCGGATTGACTGCATGCTCTACCGCTTGTCGTCCGGTGGAAGACTGTGAAATATTAACTGATAGCAGATGCATGGTCGATCCGGAGCCTTATATAGCGAGGTCATTCTGAACATCGGTATGTTGACTCTGAGTACAACAATGAGAAATAGTGAGGAAGAGTTGACTCCGGTACTTGACTCCAGAATGATTAGTCAGTTATTCTAGAGTGCTCATTGGCTGAAATCGTATACAATGGCTAACTCCGGGCTGACTCGGGTCCCGTGATACTATGGGCTCTTGTGGCTTGATTTCTTAATGTTTCTTCATATTTTCCATGGATTGCTTCTATACATTCACAATCAATGTTTAGCCTCGAGTCCAGTTATTGCTAAACCACTGAGACCCCGGTCTGGGAACTCTCCCTCCATTACACCTTGATGGCTGCACCATGCTTCGTTTTTCTCATCCAATATCGAAGAGGCTGTCCATCCCTCTAATTGAATCTACAAGCCTTCTTGTCGGGGCTCGAAATCAGCAACTTTCTTGTCAAGAATTACCATCCAATCTGTTTCCTACTTGTACTGCATACTTGGTACTTTTGTATGAATCTGCCAACAAGGGTTATGTACTGCTAGCTATATGTCCGGCCAGCCTCGATACCGAAGCCAGCCAGCAAATATGATATGCATCCTGGATCTACAGAGTAATGATGACTTATTTAGGAGATGTGCAAAGTAATACATGGATGTAGGGACTTTGCACTTGTAGGTATCTGACCCACATCACGCTGTGCGCATTTCCGTAATACGTATTTGGAAAATGCTCCAAGATAGCAACGGCCAAGTCGCTTTACTTTCCATTATTGTATCCAATTGCTTGGCCATCGCGATCCATCTTCTTCTTTTTCTTCCCTTTTCTTTTCCCCCTTGTTTATTGCCGGCCATTTTGGATAACTTACTGGGCTGTGATCGCGACTCATGCATAGTACTTTGTGCAGCCGCTTCAACTCCCCTGGAGCATCCCGAGCGAGACACCTCTGAGATGCCTAAGACTATGTACGGAGCTTTGGCAAATACGGTCATCCCGGATTTTGCTGGAACCGAGCCATAAACAAACGGGAGACCTACGGCCGGACAAAAGAACGTCTTAGTAATCGACCTTAATAACTAGCATAAAGGCGATAATCGCGCCAGATCAAGCGGTGGGGATTAGGTGCGGCGATTCCAAGTGTCATAATCCCGGGGATGTCAAGTGGTTGTCAAGTGCATCTTTCGCTGAATTTCCTTGTCAAGTCCTAAATCTCGTTCACCACGGCACGTTGTATATTTGTGATATAGGCATATCAAAAAGAAGAAACATGGCGAAAGAACGGCGCAAGTGGACTCAAAAGGAGGACGATATTATGAAAATCGCCGTGGGGAAAGGTCAGTGGTATCCACGATGGCCCGCACGCCACATCGATGGGCTTCGCTAAATGAACTAGATGTCGACCGGGTCGACTGGCTGTCCATCGCAGAGCATCTTCCCGGTCGCAACAATAAGGAATGCCGCAAGCGCTGGCATCAAAAGTTCGCAACTAGCACCAACTACGGCAGCTGGACTGATAAGGAGGACGAACGCCTTCACACGGCAATCGGTCAACATGGGACCAAGTGGGCACTCGTGGCTCAAGCGGTTGGCACCAGAAGCAGCGAGCAGTGCTCCAAGCGGTGGAGCGATGTGCTCAACCCAGAACTCAACCGAAGCCCATGGACTGATGCAGATGTTCGTATCCCTCATCCCCAAATGTTCTATCAGAGTCTCAAGTTCTGACCCGGGTCAGGATAATCTATTGGAATCAAGCGTGGACACTCACGGACGGAACTGGAAATCCATAGCACAGCTCCACTTCCAGGATCGGTCAGCATTGTCCTTGAAAAATCGGCATGCGCTGCTGCTTCGTCGACAAGCTCGAGGAATACAAAACCAAAGAGATTTCCTCCCAAGTCTCGAATCAGATGGACCGGGACCTCAACAGGGAGCCTTGACCACGCCTGGCCATAGCCCTCACTCCAGCCAGAGTGCTGCTGACGAGTTCGAAAGCACGCCCGACAACCAGAATGACATTCAGAATTCTTTGCCGCACAGTCATGGTAATAGCGCCTCAATCCCAACGGTGGTTTCCTCCGGCGGTTTTGGAGGAGACAGTTTTACTCCCTTTGGGCAGAATAGCAATGTTGCTCTTGATATGTCCACGTACAACAATAACTTCTTCGCGGATGATATGTCACAACTTATCCAAGACTCATCGTTTTCACCTGAACAACTCCAACAGAGCCACCAACAACAGCATGTGTACCCTGAGATGTCCTCGTTTAACCCCCTTCCAGCCGGTATTGATTACTCCGTCCCTCCCACGCCTCCTTCAATGGTACAAAATTCGAAGGGATCTTCTGAGGAGACGGAATGGGAGGAGTTTCTATGCTTGGGTATTAGCTGTCCTCGAAAAGGGCTGGAGGCCTTCAAAATGGCTGTTCTCGAAGCCGTCACGAAGGGGCCCAGTTGTCTGGCAAGTGATGATGATGACAAGGTCCAGATAATGCTGAAGGTCCGGCGGAAGCCCCAGGTTGTTTTTGAGTCACGCAAGACTTGAGATATTGTGGCTCTCTCTCTCCCCTCTCTCTCTCCCCTCTCTCTCTCCCCCCCACCCCTTTGGGCCATTTGATTCACCCCCAATCTGTTCAATCTTTATCCCATCCCTCTGAACGACGATCATGACTTCCTGTGTTTGGGCGTTAATTTTTAAATGGATTGGGCTTTCATTATCATAACGTTGTAGGCATCTACTGATTAACAAACTACATAAAATTTTACGTCAGGCTTCCATGTAATTATCGCTTGCACTTCGCGGTTCCTATGATCAACAATTGCGCTTCTTCGGTTCCCGCAGTCAAATCTCGAGTACTCACTACGTCCACCAAGGCCAAATTTTGCAGATCCGGGTGTCTGGGGATAGCAATTAGTTACAAGGATGTCCCCGGTTCATTAATAATATGCAATTGTGCATGGACTGTTTGAGGCTGGGCAGATCGTCCCTGAAACAGAGCTGCCGTCAGCAAAACCGGTGGTTGATAACCGTGGATGGCAGCGTTCCAGTGGATTCCACATCATTAGCTATGGCAGGAGATACTTCATACCCGCGAATAACATTTGTGTCGTTCCGGGAGCACATGCATGGTGCTCGTATAGCACGCTGCGTAGATGACGCGGACAACGTCCATGTCGCTCCGGGTGAAAATTTCCTTACTATTCCTTTCTAATATTCCGATAGATTGCGGCTCAGTACCAAGCACTGTCTCATACGAAGGAGGGCGGGTGGTGGATGTCGAATCCGCGATAGAGTGGCACGTCGCAGGGTCCACTCCGTTCGTTATCTACCAAGTGTGTCCAGAGCAAAATATCAACCTAGGTGGCTCTTATAAATTCACTTACTGGGGGCTCGATTGATGCTACTATATTAATTAGAGCATAATATGCTTAACACTAAGGCCGTAGTAATCGCTTTTCTATAGTCACGCATAACAGCCTTTGTATGTCTGCAAAAGAACGAGGGCCCCTTTATTCTCATGTCTATCTATTACCGCTAGCTCAACGACGACAACTCTGGTCTACTTCACCCTAGTCAAGCTGGGTGCGAGGACAAAATTGAATGCGGAATCCTTCGGCTATGGTAGCCAAGGAGTAGAAAAAGAAAACAAGATGTCCAAACTTATGTTGCTATTGTTTTTGATTGCGTCTAGGAGCACATGCGTGCCCATAACGTTATTCTCGGTAAAAGTGAACGGGTCTTCGAAGGAGTTCTGCACATGGCCACTGGCCGCAAAGTGCATGACACAGTCAACCTGGTAAGCTTCCAGTGCAAAAGAAACTGTCTTTGGATTGGTGATGAAGCCATGGATGAATCTAAAGCTTGAAAATTGGATCAGCTCGAGTATGTTGTTGATGGAGGAGACATTGCCCATCTTGTCGAGGCAAATGATGTTGTAGTTGTTGTGGTATTGATAGATTAGATGACGGGTCATCCAGCTTCCACTGTTACGAATTGCTATTGGTTAAGTGGCCATGCTATTTTAACAAAAGAGGCGAAGCATGGTCTTACATGAAACCTGCAACGCCAGTGACAAGAATGGTCTTCACGTAGGGAAGCGGTTCTAATCTTCCAACACCTATCAGTGGGACATTCATAGGAGAATCTTCTTCTATTTCACTCTCGGGAGTCATGATTCCCGAGTCGAAGGTGTTGGTGAAAGCAATAGGTGCAACTAGGAATGAATACTGTATTCAAGGTTGAGATAAAAGATGCAATCCTGGAAGGGAGCTTGGTAGAACTGATCACAGAGCAGTTTATATGTGTTTTAAGTGCGGCTCAAACGTAAGTACTATGGAACTTCTTATCCCGAACGCACCTTGTCGTGGTATACGAGGACGGAGTAATTGGAGTCAAGAAATCAGGGCTCAGGGCATGACTCCGGAGAGAAGTTATCAACTCGGTCTCTGGAAACTTATTTAAACCACTGCTTTATACTTTAGCACCAGACTTGGACAGATAGATAAAAGTAGAGGCAAAGATAGAGATATTCTGGCCGAAAACCCACGGTTCAATCCAATCCTAACAATGGCAGAAACCAAATTTCTTATTTTCGGTATTCATTATAGCCACTCTGTGTGTTTTAACCCAAATTAAAAATTTATAGGCAACAGCTGGGTTTCTGGCCTGGTTCAAGAATCTCTTCAGGAGAATGGTGATAACTACATCGTCTCTAGCATCCGCATTGAAGACCGGGAAGCTGTTCTAAGGTACGCATCCACAAATTGTTTCAACATATTTCGAACTATCTGTTAATACTTTTACTATCATATAGGGAAATTGACAGTATTGAACCAACCCACATTATCAACACCGCTGGTGCTCGCGGCTCTCCGAACTACTGGGGATCGTTCTATTCTCAGTTGAAACTGATCTGTGAGAACGTGAGACACCCTTGAGGCTGGAGTATATGGGCAGGTTGTGTTGACTATTTCGTGCATGACAGGTGCTCAAGACGTACTCTAATATCCTTATTCTTCGGATTCGGAACCCTCTTGCTGCAGACCTGCATCCCAAGAACTTTGTCGCCAAGCTTCTGGGCTACAGGAAAATTGTCAACATTCCCAACATAAGTCATCACGGTATTCTTTCTGCGGACAGTACTAACGAGATTTCAGTCAGGCTTGATTATGACAAACCTAGTCCCCGGGGTCATCCTCCTTGCCAAACACAAGGAAACCGGAATCTATAACTTTGTGAGAATCCATCCTCTCGGATACAAATTGCATGAATCTTACAATCTCATACAGACCAATCCCGGGACCTTTACCCACAATGAGGTGATGGGCTTGATGAAGGAGTATATCCGGTCTTCTTTGACTTGGATCAATATTTCGCTCGAGGAACAGCGTGCAGTCTTGGAGGCTTCTCGGTGTAATGCAAAGCTGGATGCCACGAAGTTGATCAACAGACTCGGAGAGTATGGATACACTGTGCTAAATTCTCATGATGCTCTTGTGGAGGCTTTTGTTGAGATGAAGACGAAGAGATTGCAGTAGGTCTCGGCTAGATTTTTATCCTACTTTTGTTTTTATTTCTCTTATTCTCTCAAGAGTTTTAATAAACAAATCATAGTCTATTCCCTGATTCTGGCAAACAGTAGCTCAGTGAATAATTTAATCTTCACTCTACTAAATCAGCCAGTAAATTTGTCTCTACATCTTCCTTGTTGACCGTGTCTCCTTGGTCGAGCTTGTTTCACTTAACCCCGAGCTTGTCGAGGACAAATTGCTTCAATCGTTTGCTGGATTTTCGTACACTAACAACAAATATAGTTAGCGAGTCGCTAAGATACTTCTTTTGCAGTTTGTGCCTATCTAGAGTTCCAGAGCACTAATTCTTCCGCGCCACTACATCGAATTCATAATGCAACGGCACATATCTATCGCTGATTACCAGCTTGGGTCCACGCAGTTTCATTGCTGCATAGGCAATCCAATCACCTCTGGGGCGTAATTGATCATTCCATCGCTACCTGTATATTCAATCTCTACGTCTTGGGCCAAATAAACGCGACCGAGTCTCGGTGGTGTTGCAAAGCTTGGGAGGTTGTCAAACGCCCTAGTGGTGGTACTGTTCTATGATACATGGAATTAATCGACATCACCATTTGGGTCTTCAAGATGCTCTAGATTCACATTGCTTGAAGGTCAGGAAGGTATATAGAATCCGCTGCTCTATCTCGGATGTTTAGGGGACTTCTAAATCTATGTAGAAGTCATGGGAAAATGTGAGCAACACGAAGTTGTAGTGAGGAGATAAGATAGACAATACCACTGGTCAGTGGATTGTTGACGCACTTGACGCACAAACTGTCAGAAACAAAGATTCGGAGGATAATCCCAAATGCATAGTCTTCTATATCGTGCCCCAAGATTCACTGTGCCCATATTCGGTCAATCCATCAATCCTATCATTCATGTCAAATCTCAACCATTGGTACTACTAAACACATAGGGCTCCAAGAACCTCGGTCGAGAACCACTCTCAAACAGGCTAATTAAGCACAAATTACCTAAGACCAAGCCTACCCGGCTCATTTCAATAAAAACCGACCAATATCTCAGAATAGCGAAGGGGACCGAAACTGTTTCACAAGACACAGATCCCAAGCAAAATCCCAAACCCCATGTCATCAGCATACATCCTAGCACAATGATCACCTGACCAAAAAGAATGCATCTTATCAAAAAGGTCAATGCGGTCGCACTGCATATTCAACAAAAGCAAGCCAGCATGAAGTGTCGGTCTCGTGATCTGGATCCAGACCGGCGAGACAAAAGCCTTCTAAAACCGCCTAGACATACGCGGCGAATAAGTCGTCGGGGGGGGACGTTTTGATTCGAGCACAGCACGGCGTTTTGCGGGCTGGCTGGGATTGTGACATACGAATGCAGGAAATAGAGGGAATAGTGATACCTGGTGCGTCAGTCAGCATCGCTTTGTTTACTTGATGTGGAAAGATATAACTTTCCTAATCTAGCTAAAATGCCGTCTGTCAAGGTCAAGGATAGTGGTCATGGTGATGGCGGCGACATTGTAACGCCGCATGATGCAGCGTGCAAATGTACCGGGCTTACAGATGTTCTCCGTGTCTGGCAGGGTGCGTCCCTGTCAACGATGCTGCGCTTCTCTGAGGGAATGCATCACATCTCGAGCAACACAGTGCCATCTCGCTCTCTTGCAGTTACCCGAGAAGGCCAGAGTGACGGCTTTATTCCTGAAAAGAGAAGAATGCCCGTGAATATTCAAGGTCTAGGACCATGGTGTCATTGCAGATGACTTTCCGGCAGGAACAAAAGCATATGAAGGTCGGGCAGTATCTGAATGATGGTGGCGTCTATACGGGTGTAGCACGAGAGTATGCGAAGATATGCTGTTGGGACTCCCAGCCACCAATTGAGAAGGTCGAGACGAGCAGGCAGGTACCTTGCGGTGTTGTGTGTGTCGTGGATCTGAGCTGTCTTGTCTGATTATGGATTGTCGTCCATCCGGATCGAATTGCATAGATTAAGGTCATCCGGTATTCTGTTAGCGATAAACAAGAAGGAATGGTGCACGTATCAGATGTCGCAAGTACTGTGTTATGTCACCTCTCGATAGACCTATCGACGTATGGGCTTTGGTATGTTACCATAAGTTACTTGATCATACCAGGCGCGTGCAAACAAAGTTCATCTGACCGAGTATCTAGTAACTACCCACCAAAGCAGGCTCTGCTCAAGCCCTAGACCCCGGTCCTCTGTACATAGCTCGAGTCTCAAAGAGATCTAGAACCAGCCACAGCCTGGTAAGAACCTTACAAATGTTAAGCAATCACCAATGATCACACAACTGAGCAATCACACATAGCCACTTCTTTGTCCCCATTACCAAATCCGGCATATCGCAAGCCTCCAAGGTATAGTATGTACCACATTCCATACTCCGTCAACTCCGTCGCATATGTCATGTCATGTCATGTCCTATTCCTGGACCAGCGCCAAAGCCGCCCGATGGTCCTGTTTAGCTACAGGCACCTGCATAAGCGGACCAACAGGATGCACTGGGTTGCGTGCGGTCTGTGTACGGCATGAGGTCTGTGTATGCAGTGCATGACTCTTATTCCCGGATAGGCAGGTGAGGCAGGCGTCAAGTATTTGGAATTTAGTGTCGTACTGCATATTGCAGCAGGCGAGGATAGATCGATAACTTCAATATCCACGACTAGTCGTACAATCTAGTACCACTCAGAAACAATACATTTACATTGTAGAATCATAGAAAATGGAGAACGCTGTAGTTGCTTCATAGATAAAAACGATGCAGTGTAACAACCTGATCGACGACGTTCGGCGACTCCGAAAGCTACGGGTGCATATAGTTTGTTAGATGGCTATTACCTTAAAACGCCCGCATATGTAACGCTTCTATTCCAAATCGTATGCAGGTTTCACCGTTGATCATTACTTACGGTATTTCGCGTATTGTATGTTAAGGTTGCAACGGCTGGTATGTGACAGCAGCCACGTGGTCGAGCATTGACGATGTATTCAGGGAGTATAAGGAGCAATACTGTATATTTACGCCAAAGTAATAGTCAGTTAGCTAGCCAGCCGTTATTGTTATCTTCATAACCATGATTAGACCATGACAAATCTTGGTACCGGACTGTCAGACAGTCGCTGAACAGAGCCAAAATAGGAAATTGCATGTGGTCTGAGCGAGGAATCTGTCCGTTGCCGCGCCGTGTCCGTCCGTGCCTCCCGCGTATGTCTATGCGGATATGGTATGGCCCAAGCTGTTAATTAAGAGTATATTAATTATATGAGGCTCCGTATAGAATACTCCCTATGTCGGAGTAGAGGGCCAAAATTGGACTTGCTCCGACGAAATCTACAGTAAACAGCTATATCACGTCCTTCAACATAGCTCAAAGCGAACCACCCAACTATATCAATACAATAAGCAGCAAAACAACAATAGACCTCTTTTTCCACTGAATAAAAAAAAACACTGCCAACCCCTGAGTCTTAGTCAGGCGTGGCTTGGCTAGGTTCAACGATCACGGATCGGCAAGGCGGGTACCAGTACCGTAACCGCTGCGCAATCGGCGATCTGCACGGGCACCGAGATCTACCGAAGACCAATCAGAAAATACTATTGGATCTCAACGTTCTTGCTCGAGCTGGAATTGATCGACTGCGAACCGAGGTATGATACTGTATTCCCGTACGGTATCATGTATAGTACATACCTGGTAGCTGGGATGATGCTGGGTGCAGTCAATGGAATGCACGGTATCCCTGTCAGTTTTGCTTCTGCATATTCTCTTCTCGCATAGTACTTTGTACAAAGTACATAACCACCTACTCGATAAGTACACCTACATACTCGTACCATGGGTAAAATTAGCCCCAACTCAGCTAACCCAGACCAAGACAAGCCGCGACGACACCGACCGACCTGTAGCCCAATCTAGTAATAATTTATTCGGCGCCAGAATCAAAAATTTGGATCCCAGTCGTTAGAGTGATGTCAGGGATCGGAACCACCCGATACGCGTAACGGTCGGCCAACTGTCCAGATTCAGGCCTGCACTAGTCAACAAATACGTACATAGTGGCCAAAATTAAGACTTTTCTGCTTTTGAAGAGGATGTCGTATCGGTCTACGTATAAGCATATTCTAAGCGAGTATATTATACGAAACTCTCACACGGAGAACTAGAGGTAGACCGCTCCGCGCGACCGTTTCACATGAGAAACAAGGGTCGGGTCTTAGCTGTCGCTGTCGAGAGCGGACGTTGTTATGACAGGGATTACTTAGTTAGGCCCTGGCCATAGCATAGCATAGCATAGCATAGCGTAAACTGGAGCTGGGGGTCTTGCATTATGCTGCATATAGGTGCATAAATTGTTGAGTTTGTGTATAAGTACAGAATAGTTGTGCCATAACTACAGTATTAGTATAACGAAGATAATGGGATTGTTGTAAAAAAGCAATACGGTTCCCCAATTTGTGTAGATTGAGATAGATTAAGTCTCCTTTCTACTCCGTAAAAAGTCCAGATCATGATAGCGCAAACTAATGCATCGTCTGCGGGACATAAACATTCCAAATTCCAGAACTCACATCGCACTATTGCTACTTAGTCCGGAAGTGATAGGTAACTGACACTAACACTAGAAATAAAATAATAGGATCATAATAATTGTATTAACAACCAACAGTCATGGGGTATTATTAAGTCCAAGCACATCGATCCAAAGAAAAGCAACTATGTACAAATCATATCCTTCACTCGCGCGGTCTTTTCTCTAAACCAGATTTAAAATAAAAACCATCACTCCTGAATCTCCCAAGTAAAACAATTCCCAAAATTGCAGTAAATGCTTTTCGCTCAACAACAAGAGGGAGGCGAAACAACAGCTCCGAACCCCCACACGCAAATAACAGTCGTGACCACGTGACCCGCAGTGGAAATTGACCGACGGGGGAGAACAATCAGAGAATATAC